TGGAGCATTCCCTCCCATGGCATTTCTGTTCTTACTGGGGGCCTTGTCCTCTTATTCTTACCATTGATATGATAGGAGACCTGATATAGAACCCTAGTCCACAATCCCCAACCTCCATCCCACAGGGGGTCCAAAGTACCTTCTCCTAACCAGGTTCTGTCTTTTCTTCCATCAGGTCCGGCCTCTAAGGAGACCCGTGAGTATCCACTCAGTCCCCCAATTGCCCTAGAATGAGATGTTCCAGAGTCTCTACTAGTGGGTCTACCCAGTGTCTACACAGCCTTCTCCTGTGGCCATGATAGTGTTTGAAGCCCCAACGGCCTGTGGCAGGGTTAGCCCCTTCAGCTACCTCCCAGCCATTCAGACTATTTTCCACCTCTAGTCCCCCACTTCCTGCCTTCCTCATCACAGCCCCTGACCTGTCCCTCACCTCACTGACTCCCCCACCTGGCTGTGCCCACGATCACAGTGACCCCAGGCTTGGCTCATGGTTCCTGCTCCAAATTACTAGTACCTAAGGCTAACCAGACTGCTAACCAGAAGGCTGGTGGTTCAAACCCATCAGCTACTCCTCGGATGGAAGGTTGGTCAATCTACTTCTGTAGAGATACTGCCTTGGAAACCCAAGGAGGAGTCACTATGAATCAGATCTGACTCAGCGGCAGTGAGTTTTTTTATGCCAGGCATTATAGGGGCCCCAAGATAAATAAAGAGGATGCTTATTGTTGGGGTAGAAGTGTCAAATGCCCCAAGAGAGGTGGGAAAAAGTGCTCCCTGTTCTCAGAGGGGCACATCTTCAATGGGATGGGTCAGGGAAGGCTTCAGAGAAGAGGCTTCAGCTGTGCCTTGGAGAATGAGGAGGTTGGAGGCTCATGGAGGAGGGAGGGAATGGCCCATACAAAGGCCTGGAGGCAAGAACACATGGACTCCAGACCTTGACTGGAGAGTCAGGGATAGTGGGGAGTGGGTAGAACTCTGGCAGGGTGGAAATGCCAAAGGCCTCAAAACCCTTCAGGTTTTCAACAGGGCTTCAGCAAAGTGTTCCAGGTGCCTGAGGAGCTGGAAGGGAAGAGAATGATGATAGTAACAGTGATAGTGTATCTATGTGCCAGACACTGTGCAAACTTTACAGGTCTCTCATGTAGGCCTCACAACAACCCAGTGTGGGTGCTATAATTATCCTGATTTTATAAATGAGAAAAGTGAGGCTTAAAAAGGTGAAGCCTCTTGGCCAAGGCTATGCAACTGTAAATGATAGTCAACCTCACCAGCTACTCCAGAGTTCCCCTTCTCAACAGCCCTTTACAAGAGCCAACTCAGGTCCACTCCCTTCTCTACCCACTATAGCGGTGACTCTGAAGAGGGATGCAACTCAAAGAATGTGCTTTTACCAGATTGAGGACATGGAAGCCCCAGTGCATTGTGGGATTATAGAAAGCAAAGACTGTATAAACCATCCACCCCTATACCCTCAACCCTATCTTCCTGAAGCTTTCTGAGTCACATTCTGAAGTAGACAAAGTGTCACAGCATCTTGGTGCAGAACAAGCACTTAGACATCATCTGCTGAGAGAATGGCAAATCCAAGCACTCATGCTACATTCTACCCTGCCCACTCCCATGGTAGACATCACCAATCAATCCCAATATGTTTTCCCTCTAGGCCCATAGGCAGCCTCAGGAGTTTTTCATTAATCCTCTAACAGTAGATTGAAATTGATTGGTAAGAGGAAATCTCTTTGATGATTTTGATCTAAATCAACCCCCTCATTCTACAGTTGGGAAGGATCAAGAGAAATTTCTGGCAAGTCACACAGCAGGTTAGCAAGGCCTGGGATTAGAGCCCAGGTTTCCTGACACCCTTCCCAGGCCTCAAATCAAAACAGTTAGGGTCAAGTTGACTCTAAGTCATGGCAACCCCATGTGTGTCAGAGTAGAATTATGCTCATAGGGTTTTCAGTGGCTATTTGTTCTGAAGTAGATCACCAGGCCTTTCTTCTGAGGCATCTCAACATTGACGTGAACCTCCAACCTTTCAGTTAGCAGCCAAGATGTTAACTGTTTGCACCACACAGGAGTAACCCCGAAGTCTAGTGTTCTTGATAACACACCAACCCCAGTAGAGCTAGGGGTTCTCTGAGGGGTTGAGCCTCAGGGTTTAAGGCAGCAAGTAGGGGAAGCCCCCTAAGCCAGACCCCAGAAAAAAAATACCCTGCCTCTCAGTGGCTGAGACCCCTGGGAATCACCCCCTTTCCTCCAGCAGCTTGACCGTGAAGGCTGGATGGTCAGAAAATCAATTCCGGAAAAGCCTGCTTAAGCCAGCCTGTTGACATCAGGTTTATCAGACTTAGCTGCAGTTGATTAGGCTCTGGGCAAACTCAGGAGTGGTCCCTGAGGCCTGCCGTAATCCCCCAGCATAGGTGAGAGCCTCCACTCTCAAAAGGAAGCAGGGCTGTCCATGAAGCGACAGGCAGCAGGATGCGGGGGCCTGAGGGTCACAGAGAAGAGAAGCTGTGTCTAAACTGAGGGTCCCTCCCCAGATCATTCCTCTGCATGTCTTCTTCATGAGGGAGTCCCATCCAGAGCATCAAGGAGGGGTGCTGGGTCTACTCCAGCCCAGTGTCTCTCCTGAGCTGCAGGCCTGAGGGCCTACTGTCTCCCGACACCTCTAAGGGAGTGTCTCCATTCCCTTCTCTCCTACTCCCAGTAATAGTGTCCTGGCTTGAACGCCAGTTGCACCAATCAGGTGAGTGTGCTATAGCCAGGGGGGAAGAGGGCACCTGGGCATGTCCTCTCAGTTCATTAAGACTGCCCATTCAGCTGAGGGAGCTGAAGTCCAGCAGGGAGTCCAGGTGTGGGCTGCCTTCACTCCTAGGAAGGGGCTCTTTTTACTCTAATGGAAGGTGCCATGAGCTGAGCAAGTCTTGCCCAGGGCTTGGGTCCACCCAGAAGGGTGTTTTTCCTAATTCACCTAAGGGCACCCTATAGACTCCCAGCCTCAGGCTCAGCCTGGCCCAAATGTTCTATTGTTCATCCCATGCATGTGTATTAAGTGCCTACGACCTACCACTGAGCTCCTGGTGGTGCATACGGTTAGAGCACTCAGCTGCTAATCTAAAGGTTGGTGGTTTGAGTCCATCCAAACGAGCCTCCAAAGGTCAGGTGACCTCCTTGCAAAAATTCAGCCACTGAACACCCTCTGGAGCACAGCTCTACTCTGATACACAGGGGTCTCCATGAGTCAGAATCGACTGGATGGAAGTTGGTTTTAACTGTGCACCACAGGCAGGGGCGCTTTAACAAGATAATAAATATAAAGCACCCGGCACCCAGCAAGAGCACAGCTGTGGAAGCCTTCCTTAGGAAGCCGGTGGGTTTGCTCCCGTGCCAGCACTAGCACAGCCTCAGCCAGGGGCCTCCCAGAGGCTGGAGGAGAAAAAAGCTGTCAAATCACTGCTTTCCCTTTGCAGGTGAAAATTCCCTAACTCCACATTTATCCAACCTTCCTTAAGGGTGCCTTCTGAGTTGTCAGATGGTGTTAAAAACACACATTAATATAAATTATAACCTGCCAGACAGAAAACACAGGTGACATCTCAGCTCACAAAGAGCCCGTGGATGGCCAAGCGGCTCATGGCTATGTCTTTGGATCTGTTCAGACTGGCTGCTGTTCATAGGCCTCTTGGATTTATTAAGTGCCTACGACCTACCACTGAGCTCCCGGTGATGCAAACGGTTAGAGCACTCGGCTGCTAATCTAAAGGTTGGTGGTTTGAGTCCTTTAGACTCTCCTGTGGAGAGGCCTCGGGTCTTTACAACAGCCCTGGTAATCTGAGGGGTACTAAGTGTTTATGGGTCACCAACACTGTGGAAGGACTGGGTCCACCTGCCTGTTCTCGCCATATCCCAGGGCCCAGCACACAGTAGGTGCTCAGTGATAGATAAATGAACAATGAGAATAGTAATAGCCAATGTGTCTGGGCATTAACCCACTGCCATCAAGTCGATTTCAACTGATGGCGACCCCCATTGGGTTTCCAAGGCTATAAATCTTTACGGAAGTAGATTGCCTCGTCTTCTTTACCTGGAGCAGCTGGTGGGTTTGAATTGCCAACCTTCTGGTTAGCAGCTAAATGCTTTATCCCCTGTGCCAAGTTCTTTTTTATTTTTTCATGCAATAAGCCTTTATTAAGCACCTCCCCTGTCCCAGTCTGATGCTGCATATGTGTGACCACAGCAGTGGAACACCCAGGTCCTATTCTCACAGGCAGCAGTCTAGAAGAGAGACAGATAGAGTTGATTCTTATTATTTGTAACAGTAATATTCTATAAAGTCCTTTGAATGCTGAATTAGCAGATACCAAACCAGTCTTGTTTGACCTCAGCTGAGAAGAGGTGCAAAGGGCATCTCAGTTGTTTCTCTGCTATTAACATGCACCTATCACTGTGCCAATTCCTACTCCTCACAAGAGCTCAGTGGGGAAGACACGTAATTATCCCATTTTACAAATGAGGAAGATGAGGTCCAAAGAGGTTAGAAAATTTGCCTAAAGTCACCAGGCTGGCAAGGGATGCTCTTAACCACCATGCCAAGTCCCCAGGGTGTTGCCAACAGGGCCTCAAGGAACACAAAAGCCTGCTGTGGCCCAAGAGCTTGTTTCCCAGGGGAACCCCTTCATCATGGTAACTCTGGTTATTAACTACCACTCATTGCATTGCACACATTTACCGAGGGCCTGCATTGAACCTGGATTGTGGTGTGATGGGAAGACCAAAATGCCCAATGCAGCCGGGCAGTAGGACCCAGTGCCATGTGTGCTTTGACAGGGCAGTTGAAGGCACTGTGGGAGCACAGAATGGGGTAGAGCTCTGAGACTAGGTGATCAGCAAAGGCTTACCAGAAGCAGCTGAGTCCCGAGCCTCCTCCCCAGCCCTCTCTTTCTTCCCCCAGACCCAATCTCAATCTGCTACCTACCTAGGCTGGTCTGTTTACTTTCCAGGAGTCATGAAGTTCAAGTGTGGCCTCAGCAAGCCCTGCCCAGACAACTACTTTGCATTTAAAATCTGCAGTGGGGCTGCCAATGTCGTGGGCCCTTCTGTGTGTTTTGAAAATCACATGTAAGTAAGTGTCTTGAGAGGCTCCTGCTTTTTCTTTTCTTTCATTCATTCATTCACTGGCAAATTCTGAAGTTGTAGTGGGTAGGCCCATGAGACAGTATGAGACCTTCCTCATACTTCCTTATCCCCTGAGGTGGGTAAATCACAAATAGCAGTAATCCTAACAGCTTCTGTTATAGTAAAGATGAGGAAACAGGAGAGTCAGGGTCATCCAGCTGGCTGATGACAGAGCCAAGATTTGAACTCAAATCTGCCTGACAGCCAAACTTCTTGGCTTCTCATGAAGGGGGATGGCTATAGGGAGGGCTCAAGGGTGGCATGAAAGCCTGGATATACCAAGTGTGGACCCATAATCCAACCCACATAGTAAAGGCCTTGGGACAGTTCTTCATACAAAAGAAGCCAGAAGACAGGTGTTTTTGTCAGGATTCTGAACGTTAACTTCATCTTGCTTAAACAAAAAAAAAAAAAAAGGGAATTAATTGGTTCATGTGCCCAAAGGCCGGAGGCTGCAGGCTTCAGGTCCAGCTTGATCCAGGGGTTCAACCTATGTCTTCATGTCTCCTTCTTTCACCATTCTTAGTTCTGCTTTCCTTAGCTCTGATTTTCTGTACTGCAAATGGGTTCTCCATGTGGTCAAGGAGAGAGACCCCAGCTGGGCTGACATAATATCCCAGACTACCACCACACTGGAAAGAGAGCTATCCCTTCTGAACTGTCCCTACAAATGTCTCAAGACTGGGTCTCATTGGATGGCCTGGGTTAATTGACCATGCCTGGCCCAATCACCATGGTGAGTCCAGGCCTGGGAGAGAGGAAGGCTATCCAGAGAACAACCCAATCTGAGAGTAGAAGTAGGGCAGTACTCCCAAGAAGCCCCAGAAGATAGGGTGTGGCTGCCAGACTCTATAGGAGAACCCAGATTCAGGACAGCAGCAGCTCTCTCAGTTCTCCCTTCCTACCAGCATTCAGGCCTCATATCTAGGGGTGGAGATGGAATGACACCACCTCCAACACCACAGAACCCCAGGCAGGGACCTTCCCTCCTGTCTGAGACTATTCTGGGCCAAATATGCCATGAGGGACTCATTGGAGAATCCAGCCCACTGCTAGTTTCCAGGAAAAAACAGATGGCCCAAATTACTCTGTGTGTTTCCTGATGCTTCTGCATTGCACCATGAGGGCCCTCTAGTCATCCTGGAGTCACAAAAGCATAATGCCTGTTCCACACTCAGGGACCAACTGTTGTGTTTTGTTTTTCTTGTTCTTCTTCAGGATCATGAGCTCTGTGAAAAACAATGTGGGCAGAGGCCTGAACATTGCCCTGGTCAATGGTGAGTCACTGACCTGTCCCCCAGAGGCCCCTTCATCGCCACACTGTTAGCCCTAGGGAGGGCAGGGTGGAAGTTGCACATTCATTCAACAAACATTGGCTGAGTTCCTACCAGGTACCCAGGGTTGTGCTGGTGCCACAGTGCTAGAGAGGAAGCACATGGCTGGCCTATGGGGATGGAAGCTTTAAAAGACCAGTCCCACCCACTCACTTGACTACCAATCAAAAGGTTGGAGGTTCAAGTCCACCGAAAGGCACCTTGGAAGAATGGCCTGGCAATCTAGTTCTGAAAAATGAGCCACTGAAAACCCAGTGGAATACAGTTCTACTCTGACACACATGGAGTTACCATGGTCAGAATCAACTCAACAGCAGCTAGTTACTGATTACCCACAATCCTAGCCAAACGTTTCTATATCCTGGGAGGATTCACTTATCCTATGGAACATGACCTATCTTCAAGGCCCTCTAAGCTTAAACCAGCACATGTGATGTGGGGGCAAGTGCTGAGTGCATGCCTTCATTCATTTGTTCAGCAAATAACCACAGCAGCTTCTGCCTGGATACACCAAGTGTGGACCCATAATCCAACCCTACAGGGCCCTAGGGGTCAGGCAAGAACTAGGACAGGCCCTGGCTTCACAACCACTGTGGGTGTCTGTGAGATTCATAGACCACCACAGTATGGCAAGAGTCTATTGTGAAAAGGAAGTACAATCCACTCACTTTAGGAATTGGGATGAAAAGTTGGGTGAGAGAGGAGTAGTCAAGGCAGGCTTCCAGAGGGAGAGGATGGCCACATGAAGCATAAAGATGAAAAAGGCCAGGAGAAAAGAGAGAGTAAGCCAGGCAGGGGCAGCAGGGAAGGGAGGAAGGAAGAGAGGAGCTCATGGGGTCGACAGAGGGTCTTCCTGGCAGAAGCATGGACATGGGCAGTGGTGAGTGGCCCCATGTCCTGCTCAGGGCAGTGAACTTGAAGTTGTGAGTAATAGGGAGCCACTGAAAGGCTTTGAGCAGAGTATAATGAGCTAACCTTGCATCCCAGAAACAACCTTCTAGTTTAGAGAGAGGAGGCTGGAGGTAGAGAGACCCAGAGTGAGGTTCCCCAGCTCACTGCCCCTGCATCTCCAACACGTGAGGAAGGGGAGGCCAGGCCACAGGCCAAGCCTGAAATAAGGCACATTCCAAGAGGGGTTGGGCTTGTGGGTATCAGGAAAGGACTGAGTGGTATGGCCCCAACCAAGGCTTTCTTCTCTGTCTTTGACTCTTAAATGGGAAACACTCTCTCCGGGAATGACAGAATACCCATTGAGATGTTTGAACAGATGGACGCAGCACTGGAGGTGCTCACTCATTTGTATCAAGAAATTTGGAAGAGAGCTATCTGGCCAACCAACTGGAAGAAATAGATATTTTTGTCCATTCCAAAGAAAGGTGATCCAACAGAATGTGGAATTAATGAACAATATCATTAATATCAAATGCAAGTAAAATTTTGCTGAAGATAACTCAGAAATGGTTGCAGCAGTACTTTGACAGGGAACTGCCAGAAATTCAAGCTGGATTGAGAAAAGGGTGTGGAACAAAAGATATCACTGCTGATATCAGATGGATCTTAGCTGAAAGAGAAGAATTCCAGAAAGATGTTTACCTGGGTTGTATTGACTATGCAAAAGCATTTGACTGTATAGATCATAACAAATTACCGGCAACCTTGTGAAGAATGGGAATTCCAGAACACTTAATTGTGCTGATGAGGAACCTGTACATAGACCAAGAGGCAGTCTTTTGAACAGAACAAGGGGATACAGCATGGTTTAAAATCAGGAAAGATGTCTCAGCATTGTATCCTTTCACCACACTTATTCAATCTGTATGCTGAGCAAATAATCCCAGAAGCTGAACTATATCAAGAAGAGCATGGCATCAGGATTGGAGGACGACTCGTTAACAACCTGTGATGTCCAGATGACACAACCTTGCTGGCTGAAAGTGAAGAAGACTTGAAGCACTTACTGATGAAGGACAAAGACTACAGCCTTCATTCAGTATGGATTACACCTCAACATAAAGAAAACAAAAATCCTCACAACTGGACCAATAAGCAACATCATGATAAAGGAAGAAAGGATTGAAGTTGTCAAGGATTTCATTTTACTTGGATGCATCATCAGTGCCCACGGAAGCAACAGTCAAGAAATCAAATTACCTGTTTGGGAAAATCTGCTGCAAAAAAAAAGTGTTTAAGAGCAAAGATGACATTTTGAAGACTAAGCTGTGCCTGACCCAAGTCATGGTCTTTTCAATTGCCTCATATGGATGTGAGAGCTAGATAATGAGTAAGGAAGACTGCAGAAAAACTGATGCATTTGAATTATGGTGGTGGTGAAGAATATTGAATGTACCATGGACTGCTAGACGAACAAACAAATCTGTCTTGGAGAAGTACAATGTGAATGCTCCTTAGAAGCAAGAATGGCCAGACTTTGTCTCTCAGACTTTGGTCATGTCAGAAGGGACCAGTCCCTGGAGAAGGATATTATGCTTGGTAGAGGGTCAGCAAAAAAATGGAAGACCCTCAACAAGATGGATTGACCCAATGACTATGAAGATGGGCTCATGCATGGCAAGGATTGTGAGGATGGCACGGGACTGGGCAGTGTTTCATTCTGCTGTACAAAGGGTCACTATGAGTCAGAACCAACTACCCAACAACAAGGCCACTTCCCAGGGCAAAAAGGTCAGGCCAGTGTGGAAACAGGCACAACGCTCAGAAGGAAGGCAGGCTTGGTGTAGCTTTTCAAGACCACACTTAGGGAGTGGCAGGGAGGGACTAGAACCCAGATCTGTACAACTCCAGCTTCAGAACTTTGTTCCCAGAAGAAATTCTCCCCTCCACCAAGGAACCCTGCTAAGTCACGTGGAAGGTCATGGCTTAGAGCAGAATGGGGTGCTGCCCGGACAGGTGTCAGAGGGCAGCCTTGGTCAACTTCCTGGAGGCCTGGGAAGGACAAGGGGGGGGCGGGGAGGGGGCGGGGCCAGGACACTGAGCAGACTCTTGATGAGAGCCAAAGCCAGTTTTACTTCAGTCTTCAGAAAGTGGCCACTGGAAGGTTGGCCCTGTCAGTTTTGGGTTCCTTCCTTGTGTGGCAGTTGAAAGCGGTCTCCACGCACTCTTCGGCACATGCCCAACACCAGAAGACTGGAGGAGCCTCTGTTTATTACATCCACTGTTCCCTGCAATCTCCACTCACCCCACAGTGGGGAGGGACAGGGAAATGGGTCCAGCTTCAGCTGATCTGGCTGAAACCTGTTGAATTTCTCTTGCCCAAAATGGGCCACCACCTGAGAAAACCTCTTTGAATGGCCTCCTTTTCACAAAGCCATTGGATAAAAATAACCATGGATAACAATGAGCTAACTTTTATCAAGCACTTAATGTGTGTCAGCTGTCTCACTTAACCTCCACACAATGCTAAAATGGTGCTAGGCTCAATATCCCCATTTTCCAGGTAAGAAAGGGAACCTCAGACAGGTTAAGCAACTTGCCCAAGGTCACATGGCCAATGCCCAGAATCTTCTAAATTTGAATCCAGATCAGGCTAACTCCAAGTGTTCATTGCTCAGCTGAACTACCTGCCTAGACTAGAAATATCTACACACATATATGCAGCTTCTCACTGTGACAATATCTGACCAAATCACTCCCAGGTCCTCAGAGTCCCTAACAGTATAATGAGCCAGAACAAAAAGATTGCTAAAAACAGAGAAGGTGATAAAGTGAAAACTGGGATAATAACCAGTGAAGCTGGTCTCTCCTCTCACAGCCTTAGTTTGGGGATGACTGGACAGATCGGTAGTTCTTAACCTTTGAAGGGCCAAAGCTTCAAGGGAAACCGTTTAAACTATGCTCTACCCTCTCCTATTCCCACCCTGCCTGCGCCCACCATTTCAGGGAAAATAAATAAATAAATAAAAGCCCTGTCAGTCAGGAGTGCATAACTAAGAAGGGAACAGGGATTGGGGTGTGGGAGGGTCACAGGGAAGGGAGAGGAGGAGAGTGGGTTAGGGTTGGGGATGGTAATCAGGGAGTGAAACCAAAGGTACACGAACCGTTTAATGTAAAACAAATTCTGCTCTAAATCTGCAGCCAAAGCGCGCGCGCGCGCACACACACGCACACCCATACACACACACACACACACACCCATGTCAGGGGTTCACAGGTCCCCTTTAAAGGGCCTCAAGTGAAAAATCCCTTGAGTTGCTCTGAGAATCCTCGAGGGGATGCAAGGTGAGCCTGACCCCACCACACACACCCAAACGGAAGAGCTGTGATGCCCTTGAGGGCACAGTCCACCCTCATCCCCACCCCCCACCCCCGTCACCTTGGCTCCATCCCCGCCCTCTTCTGGAATCGTGAAATCGACATAGAGCGGTGATCCCCTCTGCAACACTCCCATCTAGTGGTCATAAATGAGAACTGCAGCGTTTCTGCAGAACACCCATTTCTGGGAGATTTGGACCCTTTACCTCCTCGCCTGGTAGCATAGTAGCTAAGTCACTTGCCTGCTAACCAGACGGCTGGCGGTTCAAACCCACCAGCCACTCCTCGGAAGGAAGGTTGGGCAATCCTACTTCCGTAGTGATACTGCCTCGAAAACCCAAGGAGGGGTCGCTATGAGTCGGGGCCGACTCGACGGCACATAACAACAACATAACAACAA